TCCAATTTCTCAAAATTTTCTTTGCACTTCTCTTCTCAAATAATGTGAATACAAATAATATTCAACAAAATATAAAAATATATATATATACATGCTTCACTCAAGTTTATAATCAATAGTCATGCAATACAACCCCTTACACCATTTTTATGATGCAAAACTGCTATATAAGTAAATATTGAATGATTTGTGCGAGAATTCTAATTTCCTTTTCATAAATATTTCATTTTCATTAGTTATTCATTTTCTATTTTGATTTTGGAATTTTTTTGATCAGTTTATACATTAATATCCATTGTTAAATTGATATATTTCTTTGGTGAAATTCACAATTTTATATATGTGTTTATGTTTTAATATAGTATCTTTTATAATAATGTTATTTGTATAAGATTTTCAAGGCAAAAATGTAATAAATACAACATTCAGATTTCAGCTTTTGCATTTAACAAACAATCTTAATGAATTCAGCGCTTTAAATTAATACAGTATCAAACACATTTTCAGATTAATACATTCAGTACTTAAAATTCAGTATTTGAAATTTTCAGTGCTTAATTTTCAGTTTTATCAAACAGCACCTTAGTATAATATATAAATGTAAACTTCGTTTCTCTCTGTTCCCTGTTACACACTCTCCATCTCTATCACTACCACCACAAACACAAGCATAAACAAAATCAAACAATTCTAAACCCTAAGTGTGTGTATATATTTATTTATAAACTTGGTTTCTCTCTCTTCCCTATTACACAAACTCTCCATCTCCATCACAACAAAACCACAAACACAAGCAAAAAAAAGGAAATTAAACAATTCAAAACTCCAACTCTAAAAAAAAAAAGGGCAATTTGAATGAGATGTACATGATTACATGATTTCCACAACATTTCCAAAATGGAAATAAATAAATTAGTCTTACATATTAGAAAAAAAAAGGGGCAATTTGAATCTGAGGCCCTTACGCCCCCCCCCCCCCCCCCCCCCCCCCCCCCCCCCCCCCCAAAAAAAAAAAAAAAAAAAAAAAAAAAAATACTGCAAATCAAATGAGATATACAAAGCTTGAACCGGAACAAAAGGGCAGATTGAATCTGAGGCCCTTGCGACCCTTTGTGGCTCATCTTCTGCATGATTTGAGCCAACACAAAGTTCAATTTCACAACGGCCTCACCTTCAAACAATGAATTAAGTAACCAAAGCATGAGTAAAAGGGCTAAGGCAACCATGCAATGCACCACACCTGAATTGAACTTGAAGACGGAGATCACGACTGGATTCCTGAGACTAGTCGCGACGCAATCCATCTTCGTTTTGGGATTTTTTGATGGTGAGTTTTCTTGGGTTTGAGTTGATCTTCAAGGTCTTGAGCTTCTTGGAGGTTTTGTCCATGGAGGATTTGTAGAGATTCCGATGACGGTGAGGCTGTCGGAGTATCTAAAGTTTGAGAACACTAGGATGGCCATGGAGAGAGTGATACAGAAGTTAGAGAGAGAGAGAGAGAGAGAGAGAGAGACATAGAGACATGCGCCTTCATCTGAGTGTTGGGGTTCTGGGTTTTGTGGGTTTGATTATGCTGTTGGGAGATTTCGTCGATGGTGGAAAGGAGAGAGACAGATAAATTGCAGGCATGGGAAGGAGAGAGAAGAACTTGGGGGTAATAGAACCTAAGGGTAACATGGTCATTTTATAAAACTTGGTTAACGGTTCTGACTGATAGAAAACGGCAGGGGTTTGATTGAGCACAAGTACCAAACATTAGGGGAGATCAAGTAATAAGCCTCAAAACACTCCATCCGTGTGTGATTTGCTCAAACCTCAGGGGAGGTCAGTGTAATTTACCCAAGATCTTTCTACTGGAGCTGTGTGGAGCCACGGGGTCATTCCTTTCCTTGGAAGGCTATTTGGCGCACTAGAGCACCCCTCAAGGTGGCTTTCTTCGGTTGGACTGTGGCTTTGGATAGGATTTTGACGATTGACAATCTTTGGAAGAAGCGCCTCGTTGTGGAGAATTTGTGTTGCATGTGCACGAGAAATGCAAAGTCGGTGGACCATGTTCACCTGCGTTGTTTGGTGGCTAGAGGCGTTTGGTTATGATTTTCTATATGTTTGGTGTTCATTGGGTTTTTCCGGATTCCACGAGGAGCATGCTCGAGGCTTGGGGAGGTTGTGTGGTGGGTGGGCATGCCTAAGATGTTTGGAGAGTCACCCCCTTTTGTTTATGGTGGGGTTTGTGGAGGGAGAGAAATAGGAGATCCTTTGAAGGGGGAGGAAGCTCTTATTTGGGTGCTTAAATATTCCATTTTAAGCACTTTATTTTTTTGGGTTAAAGGGCACCATTGTAAATTCATGGAGGGTATATTTTAGTTTGTGGATAGTTTTGAGATCTTAAAGGATTTTTGTCTTCTTGAAGTTGTACATGGGTGAACTCCCCATTTGAGCGCTTTTCTAAAATATATTACTTACACAAAAAAAGACTTGGGTAACAGCCTCACAAATTTATCGTACGAAATTCATCTCAAGTCGTGTTGCTGTTAATACCAGCCCATAAATTGACCTGTATTATTGTAATAGTCAACTATTTTAGGTGTTGATATTGTCTTTAGCTGTGAATAACTTGCATTAATACATATGTCATCATGTTTTGAGCATATTCACATTGCAACTGGGTAACACTGCCAGTATCAGCTTGCTTGAGATAATGCATGCGTCTGCTTGAAGTTATGTAATTGCATGTAGCCTGATTCGCTTATTCATCTTCATATGGTTCCATTTTATTGTCAAATACTGGTTGATACTAAATATAGACATATATAATGTGTGTATATATATATATGTATATAATTCTGTAGCTATAAGAAGATTTAGATAGTGGTCCCTGTCACCTCCAAAATAATTGAGCCCAAACTTTGGGAACTGGATTCCGTATCCAGTTGATTTCTTGGCCCTTTTTCTTGATTCATATATGATGTGTTGTTGTCCCCTGATACACAAATTTACTCGTCGAGAACCATGGTGTTCATATTGCTTTGTATATGTGAACTTTTGCCTGCAAGTGATGGTCAACTGCCTATGCCCTCCCTTGCATTTTTTGTCATCTCCAAGATGTCCCTTCATCTCATTTTCTTCTTAAACATACTGTGGATGCTTGACCTCACTTCTTTAATTGCCACTTTGTCTGTATGAACACATCTGTGTCGTGTGTGTTGGCAGTGTAATCCTCTGGAAAACAGTTATTCCTCCTACTTGGATCCAAGAAATTGCTGTTGATCTTGATTGGCCATGCTATCTTTATCACCTTTTCTATTCCTTGCAATTTGATTTGCTGATTTTTTCATTGTCAGTTTGCTATTTCCAAAACTTATGTCATCCACCAATTGGCTACTGTGAATGGCTTTATAATTCGCATATTTGTAAATTTAAATTGTGATATAGGCTATATAGCTCCTAATTGTTATGGTTGTCTTTGACACAATAAAGGTCCATTTTCCAAAATGTCTTCCTGCATATCCAAACAAACCCTCCCCTCCCTCCCGGCGTCGGTATCATTTGACAATTTCAGGGAAAGAAAAGCAATAATGAACCTCGCCTAATTCCTTAATTGATTTATTCCTAGAAAGTTTTGTACCCAAGTGGGGAAGATTTATGATAGCGCGTCATGTCTGTTGGAGTCTCCTATGGTGCACTCATGGTATTTATGGTTGGTTCAACTTACAGGCTGCTCTCCTGGTCAAATATGATGCAACTGATCCGAGTATAAAGTAAAAAATATACAGTCAGATACAAAAAATCTACGAAAAGAGGATGAGCGGATTACTAACCTATCATATCAGGCATAAATATTTTTGAGAGGCAACTTCGTCTCTTGCCTTATTTCATTTTTGTCCTCTTTTTTTCCTCTCTTCTCTCTTTACTGGTCTCGAAGCGTTGACCTTGAGTTTGGGAGTTTAGACCCAAATTGTTACAAGGGTTATTTGTCCTACATCGGATTTGGATGGAAAGTGAAAGGGATATAAATGGGTGGGTATGCAGCAGTATCCAATAGTTTAAGCATTTGGATAAATGTGCAAGCGTCCACCCATTACCGTTAGTATTAGAGCCAAACGTAGTCCTTGATCTAGTGCCACGCTGCGCTCGGCTCGGAAGGCGTCCGGGTGAGCCACCCGGGTAGGTAGGGTGGCTCGACCACAACGAGGGTGTTGCAAGTTTGGGTGGGGGAGAATGTTACAAGGTATATTTGTCCCACATTGGATCCGGATGGAAAGTGAAAGGGATATAAATGGGTGGGGTATGCAGCACTACCCAACAACTTAAACTTTTCGGTAAATAGGCAAGCACCCACCCGTTACACAAAACCACTAGGACAAAGGCATGTTTGTTTTCTATTACCAAAATTGATATATGAATGACACTGTTATGAACTTATGACCAAATAGTGATATATGATTGATACTGATATTCTGCCATTTCTCACTTTCTAACATCCATTGAATTTGGAAGTTGATTTTATGTGTGTGGCAATTTAGCCGCATAATCCCGAAGGGTTGGTTTGAGATTTGATGTTTAAACTTCCCAGCCTATTACGTATTGAAAAGAAGATAATTATCTACTCAAACTGGCCCGCCTATCATCTTTGCTAAAGCCAATTTTCATCCCCAGTTTTTTCATATGGTGGCTATCTAGTGTGATCTATTTCCTTGCAATCCCTGTACTGCCTAACTGCTCAATGTTTTGATTGTAAATTATAATGCATGGTCTAGTATATGTGTATTTATTTATCTCATCTCTTTGTATTTAATTTTCACTATTATGATTTACTTTTTGCTACTAACGGTATGTTTGCATGTGATTTTTAAATATGCTTGTACATGTTCATACATCATCTATACAATTGTGGTTTGCATTAGCATCACCAGCAGCTTCAGTTGAACTGCCGGTATAAATTAGATATTACATTTCCATCCAGTGCCAGATAAAAGCTGAGCATTGGAAGTATATTGCAGGCAGGAAATTTCACATGTTCCAATTCATGAAGTAATATTTTCTACCATTGACAAGCCCAAGCTTCTTAGTCAGGTATTTCACGGAAGAGCTCATTTCTATTTTAATTAGTGAATTTTGTGTTATCACTCAGAAAATTACTTCAGATTTTTCCATTTTATAATTATCATGTTATTAAATTTCAAGAGTCGGTATCATTTGTGAGTGACTGATATTTCATTGTTAGTTGTTCAAACTCTCGTATGCATTAGACTTGAATTCTATCACCATACTCCAATTTCACTGTGATCTGATTTTGACTTGAAGCCAGAATAAAAAACAAAAAAGTTTCTAAAACAGTGGCATAGCTTGAAGCCTATGTTGCTGGTCCCTCTGTTTTCTGCTAACCAAGCACAAGCTCCATGGTATAAAATGGTCCAAAGTTGAGGCTGATAAAGAGGGTTTCATTAGCATATTTGGCTTTTGTTACTGCACTATTCTGTGTTTTTCTTCCATGATTAGATCTTTCCCAGGCTGCATATTGTTTTAAATGCATTTGCATCTTGTTGTGGTCTATTAGAACAAATGCTTTTGTTGTTTCTGCGGCAGTCCTCTTTATCTTCGTTATTATTGAACGACAATCAGCCTGCAATTTTGTAGTCAGAATTTGACATGATGGCGTTGAAATTCATTTTTCTTAATGAAAACTCCTAATGGAACATATGAGCAAGCTATGAGATGAAAACCTCATGCCAGTTTTGTGATTGATTACTATGTTTTTGTAGAATGGTTTCTGATCTCGCTGTACCATATGCAGTGGTTTGCATATTGTTGTTATTATGTTAACTTGCATTTGCGATGTAGAGATCAGCATCCATTTTTTAGTTCTAAAATTTGCTTTCTTCATTGTAGTAAGACAGCCCTTCCAATTCCTAACTATGTGCCGTTTTCTTTTAGCTTTCTGCTTTGCTTTCAGACATAGGTCTCAACATCCGTGAAGCACACGTCTTCTCAACCACTGATGGCTATTCTTTGGATGTATTTGTGGTGGATGGATGGCTTGTTGAGGTATTTGTTGTTCTCTAAGTAATGTCTTCATACTTATCATAAATTGCTTTCTATTACATTGCTTTACTTGTTTAAAAAATTACTCGTAGCCGATAAATAAAGGTTTATTTTCATTTCTCACATGTGCTATGGTCTCTGCTTCTTTAATTGTTTTTGTTGTTGTTCTGTCCACTCCTACGAGAAAAAAAGGAAAGAGAAGAAAGAGTGAAAGACGAAACAAATCCCGTTGTGCTGTTGCTTATCCTCTTGTTGAATAAGCTATTTTCAGTATTTTCTTTTATTTGTTTGTCATACCTAAACTCTTTTATCTAAGCATTTATATTTATTTTAGTGCCTTGATATCAACGGAAGTGCTCTACATTATTATGATTTCATATTTTGGTGGTGGCATATGGATTCGAAATAATCTCATTGAGAAAAAGCTTATAGATTCAAAATCAATATTGGTGACGTTGATGCTACATTTTATCTGAGAAATTAATATAAATAAACTGTGCTTATCATAGGACATTGTGGACTTGTAATAAGGAGCATTGTGATTATATCTCTTTTATGACAGGGATCTGTGGTGAGTCCAAATGTTGCTGACTTTGCAATGTTGTGATCAGGATACAGAGAGTTTGCATGAAGCTTTGGAAAAAGCAATTGCTAGAAGCGAGGTAAATTTATTTCTGAGTAAAATCTAATGCATGGTTTTTGATTTGTTTTCAAGTCTTCATGCCTTTTTATGACCACCAGTATTTTAGTTGTTTAGGGCCATGAATTAAGTTCATATCAATATCTGCTATGATAGTTTCCCTGTTGAAGTGAATCTAGTAAAATTCCGGTCGAGTGATTGTTTTCTCATAATTATTGCAATTAGTCATCGCAACTCTTTGGGACAAGCCCTTTATATATCTTGTTAACTGAACAGAATGCATACATGCATAAACGATATTTAATAAATCTTACTGAAGTTGGTTCCAAATGTTATCATGTTTTAGTGGATTTCACTACCTCTGTTACATTGTACCAATGAGGACCTGTTTTGGCACTATCTCTACTGTTGAGAGTTAATAAGAAGTATAGGTCCTCGGTAACTTTTTCTTGGTCCTGCATACTTTGTGTGCAAGGGTTGCGCCAGAGGTTAGGTTCTTGGTCCTGTATGCTCCTCGTGTACATGGGTTGCATCTCTTCTAACGCTTTGTTTATGATGCTATCTTGTTTACCAAAATTAAAATGATTTATGATTTCTTACCGGGAAAAAATTTACTATTATTTCTTTAGTGCAATGAATTGACTTGCTGTGAGTCCACCTGTGTACGGGCAGGCAGCGGTAAGATCAACACAAGGGTGTCTCAAACGTCATTCTCCAACTAGTTACCAGTTGTATGATGGAGAATAAAAAATGAGAAAATGCAGGACTGTGTTTTGGTTGGTGAGAAAATATACAAGGTTGTAAGAACACTGAATTTAAGAGAGAAGAAGAAGAAATAATTTTGAAAAGGAATTTTGATGCTGTACTCAAAGTTTGTAGAAGGTATGAAGTCAGTCAGGGAGGAAGAATGCATAAAATCAGAATTTGTGCAGTATATATGTAGTGATACTTTCCCTACTTTCTCTAGTTGTTCTACTGGTACTTTAAAATTTGTCTTTGGGAAAGTTACAAACCCAATGACAAATTTTGAGCTTTGACAAATAAAGGAATGTCCACGTTTGCTAAATTTTCTATTTATACAACCAAGAAAGCATAATTAAAGATACGAAGACAGTTTTGGACCTTTTGCAATCTTTAAAAATATATACAAGGTGCATTTGGTTTCGGTATTTATGCTTCGACTTCAGAAAATTGATTCTTACTGGATTTAGCTCGAGATTATAACTAATATCTGATTTAGTTTTTATTTTATTTGATACTGCTTTAAATGTCTGTGTAAAACGGGGTTCTAGCTGAATGGTCTTTTTTTTTTTTTTTTTTTAATCCTGAATGGTCTTTTAAGTACTTGAGTGTCTTCATGTCTGTCTAACCGTGTGAATTAAGAGAATCTTAGAAGGAATATATGTAAAAGCCTGAAATTTGGGTTGATTGGGGATTATTAATTTTAAGAACAAGGAGAGAAGTTTGGTTACATGTCTGAAGAGACTTAAGATATTAAGATAGGGTTGTCTTCTCCTATAGAATTGTCTTTCACTATGGATGTTCATCCTATGGATCTTGCTGTTAGGAATACAGCTGTAGAGCTTGGAATCGAATGATGTTTTGACTACAACTATTTTTGTTTTGGGGATTAGTTTATGTTGAAAGAAATAAAAAGTTGAAGAGAGAAATTAAAACATGAAGAACACAAGAATATAGCGTGGTTCAGCCACTAGGGCTTATATCCACGACACACAAAGCTCAAAGGGCTACATCTCTTTCATTACATTCTCTCTTAATTTTGTTTACAATAACCACCTCTATTTATAGGTGAATTGGGGAAGACTTGTAACTATAATAAAGGAATTACACAAAAAGTCGAATACAAATATGGCAACAACTTGTTGCCCGAGTACAGCAACTTAACATCTAGTCAAGGAGTGATTTAACATATAATTATTCTCCAACAGTTTACATGGAAAACTCTAGCTAAAGAGAAAACACTTGATCATGTTGCCCTTATTATGCCTAATAATTATAAATTCATTATCGAATGCATTTTTTTAGGTTTGATACTTTTGCATCAACTCTTTGGTAGAGAGTACTTCTTAGGTATGGAGAATTGATGGTGGCCAAGACATGAATTGATAGCTTGAACTGATGGGGGCCAAGACATGAATTGATAGCTTGAACCGCATATGATTCACACCTTCTACTAGAGAAAAGGAAAATATAAATAGAACTAGGGTTTTTGTAAATTAGGATTACGTATTTATGTTTATTATTATTTTTGGTAATGTAAAGTTTTATGGTTTGTTAGGTGTATGACTTGTGTTAGCAATTTTCCACTCAAAACTTGGGTTGTAATGTGTCAAGTATCTTGAGTCATATGAGTAGAACCATTGAAGACAAATACAGATGAAGAATTGTGAAGAATGCGACGAGATCCATATCGTCAATCATAACTTGACCTTATTTGACCTGGAGATGCTCAAAGTTCTGTCTTAAAAATTTTTAATTTTTTTTTTTCCTTTTCTTTTTCTGTAAAGATAACACTTCAATAGCGAAGTTTTTACCATATTTTTGAAATTTGAATGTTAGCTGAAAAACTGAAGATGTCAATGGATTGAACACCATCAAGAGACTGTTGATCAAATGGTCAATCGATTAATGGATGTATGAGTTACAGGGTTGAAAACCTGAGAAGCATCATTAGAAGCATCGATCGATCGATATTTTCGCAAAAAAACTATTTTTATATCCAGAATGCCTCGATCGATAGGTCAATCAAAGTCTTGATCGATCGAATCCTTTGGACCTATATATTTTAGACACTCTCAAAACAAAATTTTACAAGGATTTGACTTGCTAAAACGTATGGGCTACCTATACTGGCTATAAATATGAGGTTATAGTTAGTTTAGGTTATTTATTATGATTTGAAGCCTTAATCATATAAGGAGACAAAATCCGTGAGAGAGTGATATTTCCAATTACTCAATCTATGGTTTCCTTACTCTATTATATGTCATTGAGTATTCATCAAAGATGAATCGTGATGCTTATCTAGTCGAATCAGATCAACTAATCAGATTTTTTAACAAGAGGATGGACAGTAATTAGAGAAACGAATTCGTGAAAAATTTGGCGTCACCTTTTGTCAAGAGTTAACTAGGGGTTCTAGGTTGTGGGAGCTGTTAACTAAGTTGTAACTTCTTTGTTAAATATATTGGATTGTTCCTGAGTGGACTAGTTCCCGTAGTTTTCCTTCATTTGGGGTTTTCATGTAAAAATAGTCTCTGGTTTGCTTTACTTTCTATGGATGCATGATTGTGGATGTGTTGAAAGAATTTTGAAATCTAATGGATACAAACTAAAATTCAAATCACAATCAATATAAGTTACTAAAATAACTGAAATTATTATCCGTTAGACCTATTCACCCTCCTAAGTCTAAGTCATTGCTTACACTTTGACGTATCAGAGCCTTGGGTAAGACCTATTCCCCATTGTTTCTTGTATTCTCCTTCCCTCAGTCTATTCATCTGTTTTTCATCTCCTTAATCTATTTCTCCCTCCCTTTCTTCTAGCTTCATATTTTCTTATTCTCACACCTTTCTTTCTTTCTTGTTCTACATCAAGTTGGTATCAAAGCATATTGGTCCTACATCATTTTCCTTCTCTGTGCTTGTAGATTCAATTTTTGTGGGTGGATTGTTAGATCATATGTTAGATTTAGAGAACTTTTTTTTTATTTTTACTTTATTTTATTTTATTTTTTTAATTTTATTTTTAAAATCTCATCTTTCTCTTCAGTTTCTATTATGAATTATTATTAAATATAGTCTTAAAATCAACTTCTTCAAAAACCTTGAATCCCCAACTTCCTCTTCCTTGAAACTATTCCATCCTTAATGGACATGTAATAGAAAAGATTGGAGATAGATAATTTATGTGGTCGACCCTGTTCATACGGGATAAAGGCAGAGATGATGATGATTCTCCAATTTTGTTTATTTTGAGGACTGTCCTATATCACAATTGTCATTACCTTTATGTTGTTACTCCGAAACCTTTCCAATATGCTTCTTTCATATATTTTTCTTTTTAGTAGATGAACTTTTTTTGATTCCTAGTTTCTTGTGATTTCAAACATTGTCTTATTACCTTTGGTATGACTTGACTCTCATCACTTTTCAGTGCCTTATTTATATTCTATGCTGTGATAAACTAAATATTGTTATACCAATTAAAATATTCAAAGTTCTACACTGTTTATATGGTTCTTCAATATGTTGTGTATCTTTGATATCTAAAGGTTACTAGCCTTTGAACTGATCTCTATTCTATTTTTATGTTTTTATTTCAATTCTGTTTGATGCCATTTTGCACTTTTTATGCATTTCACTGTTGCTGCAGATTTACAATTGAATGTCGTCTTCATTTTTTGCTTGATGTGTATTTATTTTACTGTCCTAGTTCTTTTTTTGACCAGGTGAATTCATTTTAGTGCTTGTAGTTGACCTTAATTCTACTGCTCTGTTTAAGTAGATTGTGAGGACTGATATTTGTAATGAATATTCTCGTTGGACAATATACAGGGGTCATGGTCTGGCTCGATGCATTCTCAATCAGCTGTAGAAAAAGCATTAACAGCACAAGCAAAATCCGGAGATTGGGAAATAGATAGAAGATTATTAAAGATAGGAGAAAGAATTGCATCTGGATCATGTGGAAATTTGTGAGTTGGGAAATGTTTTTATGGGGCTGCTACTTCTATAATTTATCATTGTTTGTGTTGTTTTATCTCTAATCTTTCTTCTGGTGTTCTTGAAAAGGTATCGTGGTGTTTACCTTGGTCAAGATGTTGCTATTAAGGTACTTAGATCTGACCATTTGAATGACGCTTTGGAGGTCGAGTTTGCTCAAGAAGTAGCAATCCTAAAGTAAGTACTTCTATAGCTGTTACTATTGAGTTAATATTGTTAACACTGTTGTTTTTATCTAAAGTAAAGTTTCACTATTTTGCTGATATATTGGTAAAAAGACGCGTTAAAATTCTAAATTTTTTCTCAGAAAATTAAACATATTTTTATGTTAGATAAAAGCCAAAAGGATGTATTATGTCTATGCCTTGCTTAGAAACCCTCAAATAGATTTTTTACTGATTTATGTTTTCCATTTCATGCATCAAATATCAGCTAATTTCTTTTCTTTCACATTCCTGTGTGGCACTTGCCACATTTTTTTGTCTCTACTCAAAATGACCCTCTTACTTTTGCCCTTTTTGCTCTAGGAATTAGTAAAATATTGACACTTATGGCAGCCCCTTTAGCTGTATTTTCTTGTTTCTTTTCAATCTCCATGTTAAATGACCATCTTTTGTTGAGGAAGAGAAGACATATCATTGTTAATAGGTGTTGTCTTTGCAAGATTAATGGGGAGTCGGTGGATCATCTTTTGTTGCACTGTCCTGTGGTTCATGATTGTTGGAGTTTGATGTTTGGCCTGTTTGGTATTCATTGGGTCATGCCTCGGACATCTTGGGAGTTGTTGGATATGCGGAGGGGCCAATGGGTGGGGGCTCAGGTCAGAGTTTTTTGGAGGGTGATCCCTTTTTGTATTTGGTGGAGCCTTTGGAGAGAGCGTAATGAAAGATCTTTTGAAGGAAAGGAATCCTCCATTGGGGTGTTAAAATTTTCTATCATTTGTAATTTGTTTTGTTGGGGTCAGGGGAGAGACTACTCCTCTCTTGAGGAGATTGTTGACTTTATGAGTTCTTTGAATTCATAGGCTCCGTTTTGTCTTTGTATAGTTTGGGTCGCGTTCCCCTTTTTGAACGCTTTTAATACAATTTACTTATCAAAAAAAAAAAAAAAAATGTCTGCGTACTTTATGTAGTTTTACTTATTTTACTTGATGTGCATCAGAGTTCTTTTAAACTCTCATATCACGTGAAACACTGACTCCAATTTTCTACATTTTTCTCAACTTGATGATTCAGGTGGCTTATGACAATTGTTTATCTTCCATTTACTTAACTTAGACATTGCATAGTTTACCAAACTATTGGATCATGCATAGTCATACATTATTGCTCTGTGCTACTTCCATGTTCTGAGATACTTGCGATCTGTACCATGAAGTCCATTACAAACCTTTTTACTGTATTTCCTTTTATTCTAGGACGAGTTATCTCTGAATTAGAATTAGATATTATCACTGAGCACTGCAGTTAGCTCCTGTAAGAAGGAAGAATCGTGTTGAATCATTTTAGTGCATTTTTATCCATAAATCCACGTTTGTTTTTCATTTTGTCTGGCAGTTAGGATTTTGAAACCAAAGTATGGTTGTACCAGTGCGTGGATTTCTCAATGTTTTTGCTCATTTTTAGTTGTGTAATTCTGAATTTGTTAATTTAAGTGCTATCGTGCTCTTATAGTTTAATATTGGGATGGAGATCCTATTTTGTGGTCACTCTTAATTGTCAATTCATAGTTGTTAAAGGCGCGCCTAGGCTCCAACAAAGCCCCAGGCTCGTCAAGGGTCAGCTAGAGTGCCTCAACCTACTATGGACCAGGCCCCTTCAATCAGGCTCACACTTTTTAGTAGGCTCTAGGCTCAAAAAATGGGCGCGCCTTGTATTTTTTAATCATTTATTCATATCATTTTCTTTTTTACTTGATGACTAGTAAATTAAAAGGTTCTATATCATATCGTATTGTTTTACCTTGTGAAATATTTGCAAAAGTTCATAAATTTATGGTTCACTACTTACATTAACTGCAATTACTGCTTGATTATGAATATGTATAATAATATATGTTTAAATATGCATTATTATATACATGCGCCTTGCGCTTGGGCTCCAGAAGGCCTTTGGCACCTTAGTGCACCTGGAGCCTTTAACAACTCATGCAATAATTGATCTTTTCTCTTCTTCTTCTTCTTCCTCTGCTGCCGCTGCCGCTGCTTCTCCTCCTCTTTTATGTGGTCCTCTTTTATGTGGTTTTATGTTCATTTTGATGCAGGGAGGTTCAACATAGAAATGTTGTTCGTTTTATTGGTGCCTGTTCAAAGTCTCCTCATATGTGCATAGTAACAGGTACGAAACCTATCTGCTTGTAGAATAATATTTTTCAATAAGGAAAGAAAAAGAAGAAAAGAATCAATAAAAATAAAATAATTAATTGTGGAAAAATATAGCTCTTTGTTGATAATAAAAGAGAGCCTGTAGAGGAAGAAAGAGGTTTGTGATAGGAAGAAGAGGACAAAAAGGAAAAGAGAGGATAATGAGATTTATCGAAGGAGGAGAAGAAGATTTGTAGACAGTCAAGGAATTGTTGTGGCAGGTTCGAAGCTTAGTTGCAAAAGAGTGGCGTTTTTCAAGTAATAACTATGAAAAGATCAAGTAAATAAAATTGCTTGATAAATTAGATTTAAAAAACTTCATATTTTTTTTTTCATGTTTTGACCTCCATTTTATTGGAAATTTTCACTTTCCAAAGAGAAAAACACTTTAAAAGAATTCCACATACTTTATATTTTAATCCATCTTCTTTATTTATTTATTTATAATTAAAAATCCTCTTTTAATCCGACACGTGTTTGTGGTGTGTCGGCGTGTCCGTCACATGTCCACGGTGTGTACGTCATGTGTCTACGGCATGTCTATGACGTGTCCCCAGCTTGTCAGGAAAGAAAAATATGCAGACATGTTTTTTTGGCGTGTCCAACATGTGTGGACCGTGTCTGACACAGACATTTCGACCTTTTAGGCATATTCATGCTTCCTAGTTGAAGCATTTGTTGTAATGCTGTACCCTTTGAAGGCCTATTTACTTGAGACACAGGCTGCTACCTTGGACTTGGTATCATCATTGTGATGAGGAAACTTAACACCATATCAAATTCTGTGAAGCTTTTACCTTTGCGAACCATTATCAGAACAAGCCATGTTCCAAATGTGTCACTTTCCTATCAGTCTTAGAGGAAATAAGCATTGCATCCCACTAATATCTGTTCAACCTAGCCTGGATCGGAAAGAGAACAAGCGTCATGTTTTTAGGACCCCTGTGGGTAGGAATTTCTCTTACTTGACAATATCTTTCAAACTCTAATATGACTAAACCTACTTATTAACTCAAGCATTAAGATGACTAGACCTGCTTATTATCTTGTGCATTTGTTAGCCGTGTTAGGATTGAACTCAAAAGCGTGCTTTGCTTTGATGATGGGGAGTTCTAATGCGGAAATGTCTCTTGTTGAAGCCTGTAAGGTGGAAAAAAGGGCTGCAAATGAGCTGCACCAATCCCATTAGAGACCTGTTCAAGTTCCACTTGATCATTTTACAGGAGCTTTTAAGTTTAGTTTGAGTTCAAGTTGAGCTCCCTTGTTAGTTTTTGGGCTTGGTTCATTCGTAGTCGAGGACGCTTAAGCTCAGCTCAGTTAACTTGTCAATTCTAAAGAAGTGGAGATTGTTTTCAGTGTCAACTGTTGTATATATCCTTAAAAGCAAAACATACTACATTTTTTGTTTGAAAAATTCACATTCGATATGCTCTGATACCAGTCCAAGCAGATTAAATCATTCGACCTAGTCCAGGCAGATCAAATCCACTATGAGAGAGAAGTAATGCAATTAGGTTTACTAGATTTCTGAACCCTTCAATCTCCTAGTTACTTCTTGATTGAGATTTATGCTACACTCCACTCGAGCTCTTGCTGCTTTTGTCAACAGATTCGCTCTCTTCATGATCTGCTGCTTCTTCAGCACTTTGATTGTAACGACCCTAAAATGATACCAGTCATAAAAAAAAATTCGGCATGACCTCTGCTAAAAAGGGTCCTACCACAACCTGTTGAAATGCATAAAAAAAAAATGTAATGGCCTCACTTGGCCATAAACTAATCTATCCTATCCTAACGCACAATGCAAATAATATAAAACATATCCAAAACAACAATATACATATAAAAAGAGTCCCTTTCCTCCAATTCCTTAAATAAAATAAAAAATGGAAGCGCCAGTCCACTACCTATTCCCATACTCCTTTACAAGGAACATAATCTAATTACATCAATTTACAGTCCATGAAATACGGCTGAAATTGAAAGTGTCCATAATTTACAACATTATACAAATTATACTAAAGTTTTACAGAATAGTCAAGACTTACATTTACAAAATATTAAAGTTCTAAAACAAAAATAACAAAATATAAATCTCCAATCCCGTCTAAACTTGTGGTGGATGGTCGTTCGCCACCTCCTTTCTGTGTCCTGAAAAATATTAATAATAAGGGGTGAGCAAAATTGCTCAGTAGGTGGTGCCTAAGACACACTTCTTGTGACCCCGTGAATCCAAATAATGAATAGAAAAATAGAGAAGCAGGATCAAGCCATACCGGGGTAAACATAGCAACAAAATCGAAAGTCAAAATCATAACTAAATTATGCCGTGGAATGGGATGCAATGTCATGCATATCACTCCCCATTTTTCCAAAACCATTTTTGCCATCATTCCCAAACTGTTAATGTAACCCGTCCCATGGCAGCTCCATGGCGGTACGAGAGGAGGATTGGCTAACTGTCCTTGACCACAAGGCAAGCTCCAGGGCATCATTTGGGGGGCCTTGTTAACTCAACCACGCTAGGGCAATCTCCCTAGTTCTCTCTAGGTCACATTAACGCCACAGACCCATAAGCAATCTCCTAGGCGACCTGGTTTTCGCAAACTTTCCATCAAAAACCTTTCCCAAAATATTTTCTTTTATATCTTTCAAAAACAATTTTCCATTTCAAATCAAATTTTCGCCCCTTTTCATGCCCAATGTCATGCATGAACATCACCTACTTTTCCAATGTAATGACAATAAAAGATTTTATATTACACAATTCAACATACTTTCACATAGCAATTTCTAGCAAATTAATAAGCACCAAAGGTATGGAATTTAACACATTAGACATGCTTTTCATACAAATCAATTAATACACATATTCAGAGATTTCATATTACATAATTCAACATACTTTCACATAGCAATTTCTAGCAAATTAATAAGCACCAAATGCATGGAATTTAACACATTAGGCATCCTTGTTTCACACAACAACAACAATACGCATAATTATAATTTTCAAATACAACAATTGAATCATATTAAAGAAATTCATCACAATTATAGCATGCTAGACAACAACACATGGAGAATAATTCACTAAAATCCAAGAAGTTATGGATTAAACACCCCTACCTCAATTTTGTAGAAAACCCTCAAATGGGTCTAAATTTTTGGAATTCTTAGAGTGGCCAAAAGCTGAAATTGTTTATATAGACTTGAAGATCTCACCGAGCTCTTTGAATTGCCGCAAACGGCACTCAAAAATTCCAAGTAATGAGGAAGAAATCAAAGGTTGGATCTTACGGGCAGAGAGGATGAGAGACCAAATGTGATCTCTTTGATCACTAAAAATGGTAGTGGTGGGTCCACTTTAAAATACTTTTTGATTTATTTTCCTTCTAATTTTTCCACCACAAAATTATATACATGCACACAACCATATAAAACCCACATAAACACATAAAATAAAATATATATGCAACAATTCCGGTAGCGGGTCCCACACGGGACCGTTCTGTCCGAAAAACGGAAAAATGCAAAAATGACAACTCTTGCATTTCAAAGAGTCCTGAACTCAATGAAATGCCCCAAATAACTCTCTAACACTCCCAGCACACCCTACGGTGTCCGGCATGCAACACGTGAAAAGACGAAAATGCCCTCGAAAAATCAGAAAATTCCAGAAATTGGAAAATGGTAAAATTTGGAAACATTACATTGATCTCCAGGATTAGTGGCATCCAATGTCAGTGTTCTTCGTGTAATTAATATTGATGTTGATTACGCCGTGTAGCACAAGGATACTGGTGATAAACACTGATACCATGAGTCACCATCTTGATGCAATGATGAAGTACATGAAATGAACAAAATCTAGAAATATGAAATATTTTAAAGTAATTCTCACACACACACACACACACACACACACGAAAATAAGTATGCATATTAAGAGAAGTTTGGAAATCTCTCTCTATGATCTGCTTTTTCTGCTACAAAAAGAATAATTAACTTACACATGAACTATTTGAAGTAATTTAAGCATTCTTGAGTTTTACTTTACTTTTGGGATATAGGAAAAAATAGCAACTTCTATTAATTTGCTTTAATAATGATGAACTTTACAGTCCTATTCAATTTTGTTTAGTATTTTATATTTTAATATAGAATAATTATGAAGAAAATATTTTGATGGTAAAGGTCTACTTGGCCCCTAATGAAAATTTTCGGACTGTCCATGCATATCCTGTGTGTGTATTACAGTTTTTATATAAAGGTCTTTGCAAAATTGAAGAGAGAAATAGAAAATGAAGAACACAAGGATACATGGTTCAGCCACTAGGGCTTACATCCACTACACACAAAGCCCATAGGGCTACATCTCTTTCATTACATTCTCTCTTCATTTTGTTTACAATAACCACCTCTATTTATAGGTGAATTGGGGAAGACTTTTAGCTAGAGAATAGAAATTTCTTGCTCTGCAAGTATTTAATAATAAAAGAATTATACAGAAAGTCAAATACAAATATGGCAACAACTTGTTACCCAAGTATAGCAACAACTTGTTGCCCAAGTATAGCAACATTAACATTCTGTCAATGAGTGATTTAAGGGCTTAAATCACTCCTATAATTATTCTCCAACAGTCTTCATTCCCTGGGAAAAATATATATATTTTCATGTCTGAATGTGAAATTTCCCATTTGGATTTAGTCCTATATGCTCTCGGTTTCAACTACTGGAAATAGTCTATATACATATGCTTCAATATGTGTTTATCAGTCTCTATACACTGATTAATTCTTTCCCACTTGATTGAACACCATGTCTTCTTGTCTTGCTTGCAGAATACATGCCTGGAGGGAGCCTTTATGAATACTTGCACAAGAATCACATTATCTTGAATCTCCCTCAATTGCTGAATTTTGCAATTGATGTATGCAAAGGAATGGAGTACTTGCATCAAAACAACATAATTCACAGGGATCTTAAGACGGCAAATTTGCTAATGGACAATCACAATGTAAGTCTATTTGAATGGTATGTTGATGGTGGTGGATATATATATAAATTTATATTGTTAAGCAATAGAATCCATACTCAGTTTCTAAGTGTAGAATCCATGCTCAGCTTCTAGGTGTGTGTCAAGCCGAAACTGCAATAAATTTTAGTGATTTTCTTCTTTTAGTTATTTAATTTTGTTGGAAGATAATGAGTTATAGATATGTGTTTGAGAGTTATTCAGTATAAAATTCTTATTAAGAGTTTAATCTGCTCTTAGGAGCACATTTTAGCTAAATCAGGAATAGATAATAACTATGTGGCCTTTTAGAGTAAGGAGCAGAATATAAGGAAAATTTGATTCCATTATAAAGAGTGGGAATGTGGGATTGAGGACTGTAGGTTTTGGTTGCCTCTCACTGAAAGTTTATATGTGAAGGATTCTTTTGTTATGATGATTTCTCATTTGAAATTAATTTATATTCACATAATGATATCAAACACTTGCAATTTCACTATATCAAGGCATTCATTTACCAAAAAGTATATCTTTTGAATTTTTAGTGTTTCCTTTTAAGTACTTCCAGTATGTAAGGACTTTTTTGATACAGTTAGGTGAATTTCTTCTGATGAACAACAATTTGTAGCTACGTATTTATGGAGATGACTTGATTACACATTTTCTTTTTGTTAAAATAATTCTTTTATTATCTATATTCTATTGGGCTTAGTTGTACTTTTGTCGTTCTTCTGAGAACTCTTGGATGTTTTTGGTTTGACTCTTGCATGAATTCTGTTACATTATCCACTTCTTGAAATATTATGTTTCAAAGCTTATTAAGATGATAAGTACATGCAAAGCTCTTCTTGAACATGAGGACCAAGTCATCTCTTTTAATTTGTTGGTTATGGATAGTGACATGCTACATATGTGTGTTCATAGTTTTCAAAAGATAAAAAATTTACACGGTTTGCAAATTTTCTTACTTCCATTTTTTCTGTAATTCTTTTTCAAGGTTGTCAAGGTGGCAGATTTTGGTGTTGCTCGATTTCAGAATCGAGGTGGTGTTATGACAGCAGAGACTGGAACTTACAGATGGATGGCTCCTGAGGTCTGACTTTGTTACCTTTGACAAATTCTCTCTTCTTAGGTTGATCTCGTAAAATATGTAGACATATATCTCTTTCCGCTCAGCTTTTGTCTTTTAATGCTAGTTCTGATTGTTGGTTTCTACTTATAGGCTTTCTATCGACCGAGTTAGCCCTCTTACCCTGATTCCTCTCATGGATTTGTTTTGTTGATCTTTGACATTTAGTTCAATATTGATCTTTGCTTTGTCCCCTAGCCATTAGTTATTACATCCACCTTGGGGTGAAAAATGACTATAATAAATGGTAGGGAAAAGGAATACTGGATATTAAAAAATTCTTCGAGTACGAACTTTTATTGAGTGTTTTTTTTCCTTCCTATGAGCAGTGGTACATTACAAACATTCTACTAATCTGTTTCCATGGGTTCCTTTCCATTTGGTATTAGGGCATAATGAATGAGGGATTTATGAAGTAAAGTCATTCTATGTCATTCTTTTCCCAATTGTGTAAAGAAGAGCTTACTATTATCTTTCAAGTACATGAAGTTAGACATTTTGTGGAAACAGATTAGCAGTTCCATAAAATGCTGACATTATGTTCCAGTTGAAATGTATTACCAAATGATACTAGGCTTTGGAAGATTAGGGTTTGAGATACAACATGGAGTGAAGAAAAGAGAGAAGATGTAAGAAAAGGGTTTGAGAGCATGTCTAACATCTCTACATGCATCTATTTATATTATTTTAATAAGAAACAATTACAAAATTACACAATCGCTAATTACCTAAATATTCATATATTTCCAACACTCCCCCTTTAGTTGTTGGTGCATATATTTCTATCATGCCCAACTTGCATATAATAAAATAGAAAAATCTTCTTGAGAAACATGTCAATGGATCAAGGTATCGATCAAATCCTTGCTGATTTTTCAATTTTTGTTTCTCTACAATTCTCTATCGACCGAGACATTGATCAAACCCCTTTGGATTGGCTTTGATCGACCGAACTGTTAATTGAGGCTTTTTGGAATCCCTTGCTAAATTTTCTCTAATTTATTGATGGATCGACCTATTGATTAACAACCACCCTTTTGGTAATTTTTGAGTTTTTCAACTTAAGATTATGTCTAAAAATAATATAAAATCTATCCTAACCCCTAAAAACTTTCTAAGACCACAAAATTTAAATATTTTTGGCACTTTTCAATTTATTTATTTAAGCATAAAGACAGCATATATATTTTCATGCTAGAAAATTTTAATTAAATCTTGTGGAAAACTTAAATCATCCTGAATCTATTCTAGGACTCCAGAAATTCTTAAATCTTCAAACCAATCAAAAATACAAAGTCAATAAATTTCTTTTTAAGTTTTGTGCATTTATAATCTATTAATAATAAATTCAACGACTCTCAATTCTTTAAAGGATTAACTTAAACACAAATAGAACCATTGATTAACTTGCATTCCAAAACATAGGTGTACTTTTTATTTTTTGATAAGTAAAACATAGATGTACTTTTAATAAAAAAAGTTTACAAATGGCGACTTACGTACTGTGTAATCATTGAGAATATTGTTTTTTCATTTCTTTTCATCTCCCTTCATTTGACAATTTTAATGGCAACTTTCATACTTGTGGGCGGCCAGCTCTTTTCTAAGACAATTCTATTATCTGTATTTTTTATTTTTCCTTATGACTTATTGTCTTGGTAGCTTTCGACAATTCTCTTCGATAGCTGTTTCCATGAAACTACCAGTCATATATTTTCTCATTTATTTATTTTCACTGTTTTTCTTTTCACATTTTTTTTTTTTTTGGATAGGTAAATATCATTGAAAGAGCGCTAAAAAGGGGGACCACATCCCAAAACAACTACATAAAGGCCAAAGGAAATCTATACCCTCTGACTATCCACAAAATATCTACAAAATCCCCCATAGATTTACAATCTTTCCCATGGATCCAAAAAAATAAAAAACTTGAGATGAATTTAAACGCCCAAATTGAAGCCTCCACACTGTTGAAGCAGCTCCTATTTCTCTCCCTCCAAAGACTCCACCAAAGACAAAGGGGAGCATCTCTCCATGCCTCTTGAGCATAAGGCATGGGTGCCACTCTTCAATAGCGTTCTTTTAGAATCTGGCATAACCCAATTAATAAAAAAATGGACCGATTCATGCTCCACCCATCCCTGGCCATTGGACAATGAAAGAGGAGATGATTCACCGACTCCTCATTCTCTTGCACTTGCTGCAATGACTTGCTGCCTCTTCCTCATGTTATCGATCGTCAGAATCTTTCCCAATGTCGTTCACCCAAATGAAGCCACCATAGGAGGAGCTTTGGTGCACTAGATAGCCTTCTAAGGAAAGGGATCCCTATGAGGGACTACAATACTTCGAAAGAAGGGCTGCACCTCGAATCTCCCTTGACTGGAATCTGAAAAAGTCTGCTAATCCATCTCCTTGAAAGCCTCAATCTGACGATAAAGCAAGGCCAGCAAATCTCCAACATCATCCACCTCCCAGGCCTTGGAAAATTTTGGCCAAATGCACATCTCAAGACAACACCTCTTGCTATCAGGCTGATAACAGTCAGCAATCAGGATCTGGGAATCAACAGCGATCCAGAACTATCTCAAAAAAGCATACATAAGTGATCTATCCCCACAGCAACACATATCCAACCAAAATGGGATCTGCTTCCCTCTCCTCAACTTCAAAGCGAATACGTTTTGGAAATTTATCCTATCCTCTCTGGATGAATTTCTAAAACGCCCACACATACCACTGCCCTTGCCTCCACAGAGCACTAACAACACCTAGAATCACCAAATTTGCACGAAATGACCCTCCGCCGTAGGCTGCTTCTCTCCACTCCAGAACCCTATAACCACTTGCCTAGCATCGCTTTGTTGAGCACGTCCAACCTTCTAATGCCCTAGTCCCCAAACTGAATAGGCCTATAAACTTGCTCCCACTTCATAAAATGGTACTTAAACTTCTCTCCCATGCCTCTCAAATAAGAAATTCGAAGCCTCTCAATCCTCCTTACAATCAAGGAAGGATATGATACAAAAACGTAAAGTAAGTCGGAAGACTTAAAAGGGTGTTCTTCAAGAGAGTAAGCCTCCCTGATGTTCTTGGACAAACATTGCTTCTTCCAACTGGCCAGTCTCCTCTCAAAACACTCTACGGCTTGATCCTAAGAGGAACCTCTCCTCGATGATACCCCCAAGGGAAGCCAAAGTATGAAACTGGAAAGGGAACTCCACACTCCAAAATATCCGTCAATGAGAGGCTAGCTACCCAATCTCCCTCTATTTACAGTCTCACTCTTTGCAAGGTTAACTGTCAAGCTAGAGATTGCTTGAATACACACCAAGACACATCTCAAGTGCCTCACCTCGGCCTCATCTGCATTATAAAACACTACAGTGTCATCTGCGAACAGACCAATTGGCTCTTTGTGTGCAATGGAAATCCACAAATGAATTTACTTTGTTCACTTCTCTTTCGCAAGGCACCCACACACCCAACCCTCAATGACCAGATGTCCAGATATAGAAAAGCTTCACCCCACTTCACCCCAAACTCTTCTACGCTCCATTAATACCCTTCTTGCTTCTTGATGTGATGGTAAATGGAAAATACTCCCACCCCACAATCGACTTTCCAATCCCTCAAAGCCCATTTTCCAATCCGGTCTAGGTTTCCTACCTCCCTATCAAACCTGCCGACCAAGCATACTTGCAAAGCTTCCAATCTTTTTGTACACCCCTCTCTTCGACTCTAAAGACGACCCATCTTGCCGATGTTGTCCATGTCGTCACACCATCGGTGGGGAATCATGGAATACTCTCCAGCTCAATGAGTGATATCCTCAACCTGAAACAATCGAGCTCTTTTATGGAATACTTTGTCTTCATTTCTTTAACTTTTATTTTTATTTTCATATATTTATTTGCAACCATACATTCCAAACTTAATGAGCCGATCGTCACATATATCTCAGTTCTCATTTCAAACTTGTGTACGTATATGTGCAAGTTGCATATTCCTACTCAAAACTTGTGCTGTAATGTGTTAGAAGACTATCTTGAGTCGTTCAAGTACATCCGTTCAATACAAGACACAAAATTACTAAACACATATGATGGAGTACCAATAGCTATGGTTGGATCAATGGAATAGCACTGCTTTGGATATAAAACCACCTTCCTTACGACTATCCATCTTCTACCCGTTGATTTTGAGTAATCTGCTCTGATACCAATTGAGAATTTAAGGATTAATTGTTCATCAGAAAACCGAGTTTCCTCCCAATAGAATCACTTAGTTTAATGTCAGCGGTAGCACGCCACCCTTAGATGAGTATGAACTCCACAATCTTATCAATGCAATGGAAGGATGACCAAGACTTTTCTAGACGACTGCATAATTATCCAACACACGACAAAAAGTCAGGTCAAATCTACTATTCATGAACAGTGAAAAGTAGATTCGATTACTATTCATGAAGAGTAAAAAAGTAGATTCCTTTACTGTTCATGAACAGTAAAAGTACCTTATTTTCTATATAAATTATGATGATTTGTAAACAATAAGGCATCTGAAGTTTTCTTGTTTTTTTTTCCTTGTGTAGAAATAGTAATATTAAAAACTTTATACATCGTGATCCTATTTTGATTTAATCCTATAACATCGTGATCCTATTTTGATTTTTAATCAAAATAGGATATTGGCTTTGAACAGAAAATAAGCATATTCGATTTATAACAGCTATAAATAAGACACATGAATTAAGATAACTGAAGTAGAAATAGTAATATTAAAAACTTTATACAAACACTTATAGTAGTCCAAGCTCGTCGGCAAGGCTCTGATACCAATTACAAAACAAGGCGGAAAATAAAAACTTAGAGAGAAGAATACAAGGAGAGAGAGAAAACGCAAGGAAACTTCAGATGCCTTGTTGTTTACAAATCATCAGAATTTATACAGAAAATAAGGTACTTTTTACTGTTCATGAATAGTAATCGAGTCTACTTTTCACTGCTCATGAATAGTAGATTTGACCTGATTTTTTGCCGTGTGTTGGATAATTATGCAGTCGTCTTGAAAAGTCTTGGTCATCCTTCCATTGGATTGATGAGATTATGGAGTTCATACTCATATAAGGGGGGTGGTTGATTAAACTAATTTAGCCAATCAATATCGGTTTGCTCAACTCCCATCAAAATGTCATCTGGGATATCTATTTTTAGTTCTTTGATGTTGTCAAGGAATCTTTGTGCTTCAACTACCTGTTCAGCTGAAAGAATTTTTCAGGAGAGCAGTAAAAAGTAGATTCTTTTATTGTTCATTTTCCTCAGTTTTCTAAAAGATAATTCTTTTAGATTCTACTCTAAAAGGACTTTTGAACAATTCAGTGGAAATACCAGAGCAGAATACACTTCTCATGGTATGACAGATTTCACCATCTTCAGTAAACAAAAATTGAAAGGTGGAAATCTCAATATCCCGAAGCCCGGTATATCCATATAGGAATGGTTCAAATCAAGATCACCTCTCTATTCAGAAAAGGAATTGATCAACCAATTCTAGTTCTGGTTATGGATAACAGATTCCATAATCCAATTGAAGCATTGATTGGAGGTGTCCAATCCAATTTGGTCAACAATATTATTTGGTTTAAACGAAAACCAAACTTCTTTGTTTCAATTGATGATCCTAATATAGAAAAAGTTTTGAAAGTAAAAATCAAGCTTCCAAATCTGAAAATGGATCATGATTCTTTCGGCCTAGCTATTCAGTGGAAAGTTCTTCATGAACTAACTAAAGTTACTGAAACATCAACCCAAAAGATTGACCCAAAACTAGTCACTCTAATTTAAGGTTTTAGTTTGGTTTAAACTAAAACGAAACTAGAGTTAACGCGAGATCCATTATCTAACCTTGAGGGGGTGAATAAGCATTGAAAACTATGTCAGCAAACTTTACTAAATTTGAATAAAATTCCAATAATTAAAAATTTAAATTAATACAGTAACTCAGAAGCCACTCAACCCGTTGTGCAATTCACATATAATCATTCAAACATGTAAAATAACAGTAGTAAAAGCACGGGATCTAGTCGAAATAGATCAAATCCATTTTAAGAAAAAGGTTTTCAATAGGTTAAAAGTTCATAACCCCAGAATAATTAGTTACCTCTTGACACAAACTGATCCACCAAACTCTCCACTCGAGTCCTCAGGCATATAATCTGCTCCATCAACCAATTCCATTCCTCACATAATCTGCATCTCCACTAGTACTTTGATTTCTAGGCTAGTCGTCCAATATAACAATGGGAGAAATCACCAAAACAGCTTCAAGTGAAGATATTAATCAAACAATAAACCTTAAAAATTAAGACAGGTTGATTCATGTAGGATTTATGTAGGTTTCATTGAGTTCTGGGTGTATGTTGGAATTCTGCTGATGATTTGAGCGCCAACCCCCTCTGATGTTTCTCAGTCTTCTTTGATGATTTAGGGACTCCCATTGAAGGCTATGATATCAAGTTGAATTGTATTGCCAATTGATGCTAGGCTTGGGAAGATTAGTGCTTCAGATACAATAGAGAGGGGAAAAAAAGAAAGAGAGAGAAGACTTCAGAAAAGCATTCCATAGTATGGCTAACATCTATACATCCCATCTATTTATATTATTTAATAATGAACAATTACAAAGATATCCCAAACGCTCAAGATGCACTAATTACCCTAATATTCCAACAGTTCATTTTCCCTTCAGATTTTGAGTTTCAAGGAGAATAGGTTCATTAACAATGCACTTATTTTATTATAGGGCAAGGTATATAAAACCTCCCTCGACTTGTAACCTTTTCCAGTAAACCCTCTTGTCTATTTTTTTTACCAAAGACCCCCCATCGACTTGTAACCTTTTTCCAATAAACCCCCCTTGTCTAATTTTTTACTAAAGAACCCTCTCAACTATCTGAAAGGGGTAAAATAGTTGATATTTGGACCAAAATGCCCTTTTATTTAAATCTTAATTCTTCCGAATTTAAAAAATTCATATCTCACAAACCATACATTTAAAAATTGTAAATATTATATGCACGGAAAGCTTATGAAATAAGGATTTTAGAAATATAAGATTTGTACAACAAACCTTCATAACCAGAGAGAAATAGGCAATCTAAAAATCTACTCCAACAGTCTTATTTTATTTGTAAAAAATAAAATATTCGAGATATTTGTAAGAAAAATTTCAGAATTATTCATTTACATATGGAGCCGAATATATAAAAAATTTAGCCTCAATAGAGATCGATTTTATGAGATATCATATTTTGCGTCAAAGTATTTTAATTCTTTTATAGACTCACCATTTAAAAAATAAATAAAAATGAATATTGTGGCTCTATTGTGGCTAATTTTTTTTATATGTTATGCTCCATATGAAAATGAATAATTCTGAAAATTTTATTGCAAATAACCCTAGTATTTATAAAAAATAAAATAAAATAAGATTGTTGCAGTAGATTTTTAGATTGTGTATTTCTCTCTGGTTATGAATTTTTGTTGAACAAATCTTATATTTCTGGAATCCTTATTTTATAAGCTTTCCGTGCATATATTATTTGCAATATTTGGATGTGCGGTTTGTGAGATATGAATATTTGAAGTTCGGGAAATTTAAGATTTAAATAAAAGGGCATTTTGGTCCAAATATCTACTCTTTTACCCCCCTTAAATAGTTGAGGGGGGTTTTTGGTAAAAAAATTAAACAAGGGGGATTTATTGGAAAGGGTTACAATTCAAGGGGGGTTTACTGGAAAAGGCGATAAGTGGAGGGGGGTTTTCTGTACTTTGCCTTTTATTGTATTGCGCCAACTTGAATACCATAGCTACACATGATATATTCATAACAATATACCCTAGTTCCAACAAAATTGATACACATCTTCATGATTTTATTTTATGCCAAAAATAACAACGCCTCATTTCTTTCATTTTAGATTCTAGATCTCGTCATAATTTGATGATGTTTTGCTATCATGCATCTAACTCATCGGAATTCACTTCTTATATTGATATTATATTTTACTTTCTTCTTCTTCTTCTTTGACAAGGTTATAAACCACCAACCATATGATCAAAAAGCAGATGTGTTCAGTTTTGCTATTGTTCTGTGGGAGCTCGTGACAGCCAAGGTATTTTGTGAAGTTTGAAAAGCTTCTGATGTTATTTTGAGTATATTTCTTTAAGATTTTACCTTGGGAAAATGATCTAACTCTGTTATGTTTTTGATATTTCAGGTCCCATATGATACCATGACTCCTTTACAAGCTGCCCTGGGAGTTAGACAGGTTTGCCCACCTATATGTCAAGTTATACAATGATTTAATATATAGCTTAAACATCTCCATGACCAGTCTCTAATATTATGAACATTTAACTGATCTGTAAAGTAACATTCTTTTCATTTTGGTAATCTTAGTCTTTATACTCATCAGTTAATTTTTGTTACTTACACTGATCATGGTTGCTTATAATAGTGGTTGTATTATGTGGAGTGGGTCCTCATTATTTTATGCATATACACTACCAAACATGTTTCTTGTTTACTGTTTACAAAATTCAAGAAACAAATTAATGTTTCGGAACGTTGATTCTGTTTTTAGAAACACGACATGCCTATAAATAGAAATAGGAAATGAAAAACACATAAACGTAAGCGTTACCAAACGACCCTTTAATTTTAAAAAATTCTAAAAATACTATAATTCAATACCTAATTTTTGAGAAACTAGAACATAACTAAGTTATTAGCATTCTGCAAACAACATTCATGGTGAAATATCTCCCGTTTAAAACTATTGTGAATGGATATGAATTTAATGTTCATCCTTGGTGCAATCAAAATTTTATGATACTTTTAAGTTGCTATTGTTTGGATTCATCTTGTAATTCAAAAGAATGTGGGAAAAGTTAAATATATATACATATATAACAAAAAAATGTAAATGTAAAATGGGAATCCGTGTTGGAAGGCAAAGATTGGAGAAAGAAAGGGGGAAAAAAAAAGGACTTTCCAAGTCTATCTGTAAAAGCCTTTGGGTATTATTTAGTTATTTTAGTGCACTAGGGTTGACTCAAACTCCTTAGTGCAACTGTACTAACCGACTTTCTTGATCTTCTATTTGCTAGGGCCTGCGACCGGATCTTCCTGAAAATACGCACCCCAAGCTGTTGAACTTGATGAAGAAATGTTGGGAAGCTGTTTCTGACAACCGGCCTTCCTTCTCTGAAATACGAATCGAACTCGAAGAATTTTTACAAGAAGTTCAGGTAATCGAACTCAAAGAACTTTTACAGGAAGTTCAGGCAGTGTGGTTTAAATTTTCTTTTGCTTCAACTCTTGTTCATTTCTCCTATTTCTCTCAGGAAAAATTAGAAGCACCAAATGGCAAGTGAACATATTCAGTTCATTATATCCCAAACAGCACAATTCCACAGAATGAGTAAGGGGAATTTTTTTTTTTTTTCTTCCCTAATTTTAGGCTCTTCATATAGTTATAGAGATCAGGTTTAACGACTGAGGGAAAGAGATTTAGTAAGGCGCTTCAGCACAAAATTAGTGAAAAAAGAAAAGAAAAGAAAAAGAGTAATGATAAATTGTATCATTATACTGTTGTTGGAGTTCCCCTTTGGACTCAAAGCAACATGTTCAGTTTCCTTGTAAACACTGCTTCAAGTAATGGTATATGATGCTTTCCTGCAGAAAGTGGAATTATAGCATATTGCATCTGCTTTTATAATTGCCAATGTTTAATTTGATATTGCGGCCTTGTAGTAACTCATGTTTTGCTAAATAGATGTTTATCCTTTACAGATTACCTCTTATTACTTGAGATTCATGAAATCAAATTGAAGCCTTTATTTATTTATTTTTTATTCCGTGAAACCTGATTGAAGAATGGAGATCTCACTCCGACATCTTTGTCAAATAATATCTAGAAGTCTTCAATTTTCCTTTTCTTTCTAGTAGTCAGAATTTTCTTCATGTTGGGGGGTAGACACATGTTGCATCAATGAAAACTAGATCATATAAGGCTTGTTTGCATTGTAGCAAAATTGTTAGATCATCATCTTCTTCATTGTTACTTATGATATGTGCTACCAGTGTGTCTACAATACATTTCGAAATTGAGATATGTCTACTGCCAACTGGAGCTGGTGCTATACGAGAACTATTAAGCCAATCTGGATTTACGAATTATTATGGATTATTCCTTGGTAGAATGGAAAGAATTAGGGGAACAGGGAATGAATGGGAAGATTGAAAAATTGGAAGTAGGAAGGATTTTTGTGGTTAGACATTAGCGAATAAGCATTTTATTCTAACAAATATAGAACTAGAATGGGTGATGGTTTTGTCTATAACCAGTTCTTCGTGCTGAGTTGAGACCAATCAGTCAGATAGACGGGGGTTAAATTAATGAGCTCGGATATTAATGGACTCAATGGCATTTGGTAGACTGATAGCTAATTTGTATCATCTTATAATTTAGTTTTGCCTTTTCAAAGTAGCTTGTTCCAAGTTAGAGATGGGGATCTGCATATAAAGATAAGATGGGGATTTTCCCTCTTTTTGCGCATTCCATTTCTGACACATCCTGATGAACATTGCCATTAAAGTTATGTTCAGATCATCTCCGTAAACAATCTGTGGTTAGTGTAGAATCCATCATTCAACCCAGTGATAAGCAAAATTTGAACTGGTATGGGGTGGTGGTGTTTCTTTAGCCTGCATTAGTAAAGTGCCACTGTTTCAGAGAAAAAAAAAAAAAAAAAAAAAAAAAAAAAAAAAAAAAAAAAACACATTAGCAGGCAATGAAAGTTGAACTCTTGCCTCATCAGTAGTGGGTTGATGGTTTGAGCCTTCTTTATGAATGATGGGTTTTGGATTGGTGGTGACTCTTGCCAAGTCCTTGTTTGCACCCGTTTAAACTATTAATGTCTTCCAGCTTTAGTGGGGGGTAAAATTTTGGTTGCATTGTTATTTTTTGCTAATTGTTTTAACCTTTATATGATGCTATTTGACTGTGAAGGTAAAGTAGAAAGGATATGGATGGAAGAATGGACAGAAATGTGTGTTTTTAATATGTTTGAGGATCCTCTAAGTTAGGGACCTTAATTCAACTTGATCTTCTAATTAGCAAATCTAATCATAGTGTTATGCTTTGGGTCGCCAGCGAAACACACCCTTATGGTATGTGTATATAGAGTGTATAATCCTCTATACATTTTGAAAATTTCTAAACATTCAATTTTTGAGCAAACAACTGAATGTTGAAAAGAGTAGAGTGTCTCTCTTTAACTAAATAAAAAATGGTAAAACAATAATTACATATGAAACAACTAAAGTGCATCTCTTGTTTGTTTGCTTGTTTTTTTTTTTTTTTTTTTCATCTATAAGGGTATTACTGGAAGTCAAAAGTGTATTTTTGAAATTTTATATCTTAAAAATGTCCATTCATTGCACGTAACCAAGTTTGTAACCAAACATAGTTAATCAACGAGAGACTCGCCATACTTGTGTTGATGGATTATTAGGTGAGCTTTTTCAAACGTACAGCATGAGACATGGGATTGATTCATGATTTGCGGTCGCGGTGTAAAGGATTTGAATGAATATCAGTATTGGTGTACATTAGCCGAATTGATCAGTTTATATAGGTAGGTAACGATATCGGACCCTTGAGAAAGGGTTATGAATCGACTAACTACGGGTGAACCAATTATCAAACTTCTAGTATGATATTCAAACCCGAAAATGATAAAAAGTTCAAATTGTTATTAGTGATTGATTTGTAGACAGATATAATCTTATCTAATGTTCACGAGTTCTTTTTGGACATCACCTATTGGATTAGAACATAAAAACCATTATATTATTCGAACTTTACTTTTCACTGTGAATATTAAGTAAATAGAATCGACTTAGGTAAAACGATATTAGTGATATCAGGTTCAAATTTTTATTAGTGATTGACGCCAATTAATTTTAATAAATTGAAGAGGGATATATATTATTTTGTTATTGAACTAACAATTCCATTGACACATTTTATTAGTTTAGGAGTTATACGATGAAAATTGATGGTTCAAGGGGGGTTCTGTGATTTTAGGCCACATTAAAGAAAAAAAAAACTTTATGTATAGATCTGCGTGTGCGTACATAAATCATCAATGTTAGGCCTTAAAAAAAAAAAAAAAAAAAAAAAAAAAAACAGTAGCAATGTTTCTGCTTTAAAGTGTGTTCAACACTACTCAAAGCTTGTTTGGTAACTGTTGACTCCTTAAATCGGCTAAAACTACCAATTCAAAAATTGGCTTGATGCGGGCGTGCCAGAACCAATGGGCTTGGTTCAAACCGTAAAGATCTGGTCAAACTCAGTCTCTTTTGTGAAAGAATGATAAACAAGCGATGTGTGAGAGAGAGAACATGAAACACTCACTTGAGTTCAATTTGCCTTTAGAAAGAACATGACTTCAAAAGGAAGAACGAATTGCAAAGAATAAAACTAGGATGAATCTTAAGCGAGAATAAAAAGTTATGATAATTACTGAAACCGAATTAAATGCAACGAAACTACTAGGAATAAAAATTCAAGTTGCAGAAAAGAAATATTATAGGAAATTGTACTAGAAATTAATCAACTAGTAGAAAGCTGAATTAATACTAGAAAGGAAATTAATTAAACTAAAGAAAGCATGATTTAGAAAAAGAATTGTTTTATTGATGCGATTGTTTGAGAGATGTTGGATACCTGACAAATGCAACTTCTACTATTATTTATAGAAAACTTAAAAGAATCCTAATATAACTCTACTAAATTAAATAAATTATCATACTATCTTTCAAAGCTATTTAACAAATACTCCTAATCACTATATAAATCATTGTCAATCTTCCATACTACTCCCCTAAATTAGAATAACTTGTTGCCACATCCCTTTGCCGAGCCCTCATCATCTTGCCACGTCATCACCACCTTTCCTGCCAAATAGGGTGTCAACAATGCCCCCAATTTTGGAAACTGTTGTTAGGGTTTAAAAAAATTTAAACAACAACACCCTACTTAAGCACTTATGGCGCCAAATAAATGTTTGCACTGCCTCTACAATCTCGACTTCCAATAACACTCCACTACTCAGACTTTAAACAATCACATCAAAAAGGACAATAACTCTTTCGCCTCTTCCTCTGCTTCTGCAAGTGACGCTGGCAACACATTCGTTCGGAAACTTTGCATCTTCACCATTCTTGGATCATTCCTTCACTTTGTAATCATGTCTGCAGACGCTGTGAAACAATATTCTGATTTGAAAACTCTTTACCCTGAAGCAGAATCACATACCCAACAATCCAAACAGGTAATCAATTCTATCAATCTTTCTGAATTATACCTTGATGTTCTAATTGGTCTTCCTAATTAGCAGAAGGGACTCGACCCAGCATTTGTTTCTCAAATACCCCCACAATTGTCCGCGTTCTATCCACTGGCAGAATCTTAACCCCTTTTCTGAAAACCGTAACCCTCTCTTTGAAAGGCGAAAGACCGTTATTTCTCATCTGAGGAATCGACAACCCACTGGCTTAGAATGGAATCAATGGGTAGATAGAGTTGCTGCTATCAAAAGCCCAGTATGGCATCAAATGGGTATCTAAAATTTGATTTAATTGAACAAAGTTACACTAACCCAAGATAAACCCCTTTTCTTCGCATCAATGATGTTCTGGTCCCCAACCACCAATTCTTTACATTTGAATTGTGGTATGATGGCTCCAACACTAAGGGATATCTGTTTCTTGACTACTCTCAACCTAGGAGGTGACGCCATTCACTGCTTGCTGCATGATGCTGCTACTAACTTTCGCTTCCCAAAGCAAGAATGTTTAAAACCTCATGTCCAATCTTACGGCCCTTTCATCAACAAAATGATGGGAAAACCCATCAAGAGGTGGATGATCAGGAACACATCGGATTCTTGCTGCTATGGCTATGCACACACTTGTTGTGTGTCCTTGCTATTCAAATTACCAAGGATTTAACCTAGTTGGCCATTGCACTCTCTAAAGGTAAACTTGTTACCTTAGCTCCTTTTTTATTGGCCAACCTATACTGTGGTTTGAATGAACTCACTTGTACCACCTTGTCTTGCTCTGGTGGTCCCTTTTGGTTATACCAAATTTGGCCGCAAGTATACTTTCACGAATTAAGCCTAATGGTGGACCCTGAAACCAATAACCCCCTGATCTCCTTTAGCTATGCCTGAGCTGCTCCCAAAGACCATTCATTTCCAGAATGTTTCAATTTCTTCTATCACATATGTCATACCCAAACTACTGCTCAATTCCTTCCTTTTTTCCAACTATCAATTGGCTCCCACTCGGCTATTTAATCCCACTGCGGATACTCCTGCTGATATTGTCCATGACCATAAGGTTGCTTGGACTTATTTCCTAATTGCTCGTGAC